ATTGTGTGGCCTGGGTTTTTTGCATACTCCATTTGGGTATTTCTATTGTATAAACTTCTCCTTTTTTCTCTTTTAATAAAGTTTTAGTTTACAAAAAAATATCATACTTATGTTTAATATGACAATATACAATAATAGTGATGTGTCCAAAATTTTCTATAGACTTTCTTTGTTTTTTATGTTTTATATATATTTATATATTTTTAATTTTTATTATTTAATTATGGCATTTTGGATTGATCCATTTGGTCCAAATGGTTGAAATACTTATCCACCACCTAGATGAAAAAAATAGTTTCATTTCGATGTTGTTTTTAAAAATATAGGTTTTTATATTATGGAAATCATTATTTATAGACTTAATTAATAGAATTTAAAAATAAAAAACCAAAAACAAAAACCTTAAATATAGTATTCAATGATAGAGAATAGTTTATTTTTGTAAACAACAGATGGGATTTAATGTGAAGGAATTGAATAAAATGAATAGTACTATTGAAATTACATTTTTTGCCCCCAAAATGAAAATTGTCCAAATTCAAAATGAAGAGTATTTTATCCAAGAAAAAATGAGGGATATTTTAGTCAAATAAAATTCCAGAAATCTCAAACCTTATTTGTGCTTTTTAATATTATAGTAGTATAGATATAAATATTCTTCTCCAATTTACAAATGACCCAATAGCTAAGATGGTCACTCGGTGTATCTACTGGACTTTTATATATTGAGTTGTGCCCCATCTGCCATGAACAAATATTATTTAGAAAGAATCCAGTGCTGATTGGCCCTCTTTACGGATTTCATATGGATTGATCGATCAACCAGCTGTTACCGGTGCATATGGATTTCATACAGATTGGTAGGAGCCGAGCCTCTCTTCACACAAAGAAAAAAGAATTGCTTATACCCTATAACGGTTTTCAATCACTTGACCTTAACTTGGTCAAGCAAACCAACTAACAGAGATTGAAGAGATCGGCTTCAGACCTGATGTAACCGGTTCCAGTCATGTATCATTTTTTTGTTATGTGTCAATTTTTTGGCTAAGTACCTCGTCATCTCGTCTGCTCCCATGTGGTCGGTGACTCAGAGGTTGTCTACCTGTCAAGGGCTGCACTTAATTGGCATGAGGTGCCAGGTGTCACAATGTCATTGGAGGGCCAAATCCACCCTCATCATTTGCCCCCCACTCCCGAGCTGAAAGTAACTCGGCGAAGGGAGTAAATTTCTCCTTTCGGTCCGTAATTCGACGAGCTCGTAAGCGCTGGTTCAGTTTCTTAGGATCTGGCAGTTGCTTGGAAGCGAGCAGCTCGTGAGGCACCGAGGTCTCTACCAGTTCGGTACTTTAGCCCTTAGATTCTAGGAGCGACTTGTAGTCCACTTTCCTTGACTTTGCCCATGCCGACGAGGCGGCTGGGTCTTGTGCAGTAGTGTTGCCCATGCCGACGAGGCGGCTGGGTCTTGTGCAGTAGTGTTGCCCATGCCGTAGAGGCGAATGGGTCTTAAGCAGTAGTGTTGCCCATGCCGTAGAGGCGACTAGGTCTTAAGCAATAATGTTGCCCATGCTGTAGAGGCGATTGGGTCTTAAGCAGTAGTGTTGCCCATGCCGTAGAGGCGACTAGGTCTTAAG